AAAGGTTGGTGATCTGTGCTATAGTTGGTGTTTAAGTATTGTCAACAAATGTTTTACACTGACACATATTTACCTTGCGTTATATTTTTCTCATTTCCTGTCAACTTTAACATTTTTGAACAAAAACATGGTGTTTAGCTGGTTTTCTGAGGGAACCCTGGTTACTGTCATTATTTATTTTTTTAGAGAGAATAGCTTTCCCCTGATAATTTCTAATTGAATTGTCATGAACTTTAACCTAAAAATTAAAACAGCTGCCAGTGGACATCCCAGAAAACTCACCCCAAAGGTCAGACAGTGCAATGATCAGAAAAAATAAACTTAATTCCATGTCAGACTCTAACTGACCTTTGTGTTTGTTTCAGGGATGTCCACTGGCAGCTGTTTGAATTTCTTCCACTTGTGAAAAATCTTTCTCTATATAAAATGTTGTTTTCCACATTTAGAAATGACTGTATATTTTTAGTTTAATAAGTAATAGTTTCAGAACATGGAAAAAAATGGAATAACTTTTATTACGACCTGATTGTTAAAAACCTAGAATTAAATTAATTGAAAACAAAACAAAAAAACCCCTAGAATTAAAAGAGTGTACTTTCTTTTTCCCATGACTGCATCATGTCATTGTATTTTTATTTTTCCACTGTTCAAGTTTTCCTCTGTTATTCTTGATTTGCAGGTAAAGACAGAGTATTCAACACTCCTCTCTGTGAACAGGGGATTGTGGGATTTGGTATTGGTGCAGCGACTGCTGGTGCCACAGCCATAGCTGAGATCCAGTTTGCTGACTACATCTACCCAGCGTTTGACCAGGTAAGATTTGTCCTTGTTCACACAGAGCTGTTAATGGGAGGAGCACTCTGAGCACTGGATGATGTAAACTCACACTTTGTGTTTAGTTCAGGAGAAATGGTTAAGATAAAGTGAATGTAACCTTTTAATCTTTTATGTAAAAGTATTGTTTTCTCCCTGAAGACTCAATAAATCCAACAGATGCCTCATCAAGTCCTAAATGTTTCAATAATGCTTATCTTCTAAAGTTATATCTAGTTGTTCTTTAAAGGGATCCATGATTAGATGTAACATTAGACTTTATTTAATAAACATTTAACTATAAAATAAAGACTGTAAAAATACTGTAGGATGTTTAGTTTTGTACATTTTTAAAGATGGGACCACGGGCTACTTGGTGCGCCATGTATCAGAGGAACCCTAACCATGTATCAGAGGAACCCTAACCNTGTATCAGAGGAACCCTAACCATGTATCAGAGGAACCCTAACCGTGTATCAGAGGAACCCTCACCATGTATCAGAGGGAAAAAAAACCCTAAATAAAAGTGATTTTGACCTTTACTTTTTAATATCATGAAATAAAAACCTTTATCGACCATGTCCAGTGTTTAGATCTGGTTTCTGCTTTACATGATGGAGCTTTAACCAGTTCAGTGTTTGTGGATGGTACAGTGAAGTGTGTTTACACACCATGATCTGTGGAAGTGTTCATGAGTCTGCTCAGTCATGTCTACAACACAATCAGATCTGTTTTTAATGCAGTGAGAGGCTCTGAAGGTCACTGCCATCCTTGTTCCCTGTGAGATCACAGCTTCTTCAACATACTTTCAATCTTTTGATGATATGAAGAACTGTAGATGATGAGATATTCAATGTCTTCACAAGTTCCCATTGAGGAACATTGTTCTCAAAATGTTTCACTGTTTTAGACAGTTTTGTGCAGACTTGTGAGATTCAACTTGTCTAAAATGCTGTCTTTACATGCAGCCTTCTGAACTGTTGTCAGTTAACATAATTAGTTCTGAAATGGGAGCATTTGAAACGATTGTGACAAACTAAAAATATTTCTGAAAGATTTTCAGGATTGGTCAGAATCAGTTGAGCTTACTGATGACACAAAAAGTAAAACTGTAATTAAAAAGAAATGTGTTGCTCATTATTCCTCATATATATAT